GGCAATCAATAATTTAACATAAAATTCAACAGTATAAGCCTTCTTAGTTCGTAGGGCTCTGTCATTCACTAAAACGGTTGAGAAAGTGAGTGAATGTGACTTAAGGTTTCTAGAGCTAACTATATATAGTAAGAAAATAAGAGTAATTTAATATTTACCTACCTAAACAGGGCTGGATGGGGTGACCTCCACTCGTCCCCGCCTCGAACCCATACAGGTTTTCATTAATAAAAATTATCTCCTCCCAAATAAAATGAACGATCCCCCAAAACCACAATAAACCGAGTAGGTACTCGTCCCTGCATGGCAAATTGCCATCTCTAAATGCACATAACTAAATTTGTAACCAAACAATGATCTCAAACACTTCTTTGATCATTTTTTCAAACTTAACGTACTTATATTCCAAAAAAGAGTAATTTTTGCTCGCTTTTCTTTTTTTGTCACTTTTTTTTTTGCCGTTCTTTTAAGTAAATAAGTTAACATACCATTTGTCCCGTCAAAAATTTAAACTATCAATAAAAAAATAAAAAGAGGACAAACCAGTCAAGTTAATCCTTAGTATATTTAGTTACAATACTACACTTTTAAAGGAATTTTAAAAAACCCATAATTTTCTTCAAAAGTACTAGTAAACTCCATAATTATTCTTTAATAACTCTTTTCTTTCACTTTCGAACAGTGATTTTATCTTTTTTATTTAAATTTGTATCATCATATGATAAAATATTACAAGCTGCAAAACAGCTTTAAATTGGCTGAACATTCCAACAAAAAGGTTATTTTAAAAAAAAAAAATTGGACAATTAACATAAAAGTTTGGTGTGGAACTATGGAGACAAGTAAACAACCTTATTGAGCTAGACGCGCAAGGAGACACAAACCTTGATTCTCTCAAGTATGTACTGGATCCACAAATATTAGTACACATTTTTTTTTTTCTGTTATTTTATATTTTCGTTTCTATTCAGTGTGTTTTTTTTTTTTTTTTTGATTGAAAGAGTCTCATCACCTATTTATTCTTCTCTCTGGAATGTAAATTTTGAGTAGTATACAAACCTTACATGGCACTCGTTTATTGCTTCAATTTTGTGAACTAAAAATATAATTATTTTGGCATTATCTTAAAGCGTTCGTGGAACACAGCGTGTGATCATGTTTTAAAATTACTGTATGCATCATATACATTATAATATTTTATTAGATGATTGGTTCTATTATGTGTGAATTGTGATTCCATCAACTTTATTTAAAATGATTGATAATTTAATGTTTTTTTTTTTGGCAGTTTTGAAAGTGAAATTAACATATGATTATGGATATATTAAGAAGAATTATTTTAAGAAAATTATTCATCTTGTCACTTGACAAATGCAATTACAGTCAGATTAACATACGTGGCAAAAGCTCAAGTCTCCTGTATATATAATATATCAGGTTGAGTCGTCAATCCTTTTCTTTTTCATTTTTTTTTTCCTTTTATTTTCTAATTCTTTTTGCGGGACATTTTGATCGTAAACTCTTGTTGAGGTCACAACTAGGGACGTGATCAGCTTTCAGTAATTTTTAATTGTTGAGTTATATATCATTATTTAATTAAGCATTAATTGAAAGAATTGTGGAATTGTGTGCAAATTTAGCTCCCAGCTTGTGTCTTTGATGCTAAAACCAACTTCTTATTCGGGCCTCCGGATTGTGCTCACGTGTGAAAATGAATTAATAGGCTTTGGCAAGAAACCTACGGACTGCTAAAAGCAATTTTAGTTATAAAATTATTTCGGTTTGTAGTTCTCTAAAAATAATTTTATATTATTTAAATTTTTGATAATTATATTCAGAAAAATTAGACCGTCACCATCCCTAGTTCTGCTGAGGCCCATCCCTGTTCACTCACTCCCACCTACTCCTTAATTTTGTTAACTCCATAATGGATGACAAATTAGGATCCAAATGAAATTCTCCATTTACAAGAGTCTTATGGGATTGATAAATGGAAAAATTAGTGAACAAAAGGGACAGGAAATGAGAAATTAGAAACAAATACATTATTCATCTAAAGTTCAATGTAGTATAAAACTGAAGTCCACCTGGTTAATGACTTTCAAAAAAAAAAAATATAAACCAATTGGATAAAACTGAAGACCACTAGAGAAGAATGAACAAATTGTATTGCAAAAAAATAAATTAAGAAAACCTGTTCTATATTTAAATTATGCAAAAGTCTTCGGAACCAAAAAAAAAGTGGTTAAAAGCCTCAGCCCAACGAGTTGAACGTCTTTTACTATAAATTTTTGAAACTTTATTTTAATCTCCTTCATCCTCGGTACTTGCTTCTAGCGGTGTAACTTGAGTTGGACTCATTCCAAGTTCGAACTATTTTTACAATTAAGGTTGGATTTGGGTCCAAAATTTTGAATCCAAACTTAATTACGATTGAATTTGAGTTGAAAAGCTAGTAATTTGAGTCAATCTCAACCTAAATTATAATATTTTTTTTAAAAAAATTATATATAATATTTAAATTATGATCACTTTTTTCTTTTTAACTTTATTGATTTACATCTGTATGTTAAAACTTTGGAGAATTAATTTTTTAAGAATTTGTTTATAATTTATTAAAAATTTGTAATAATAATAATAATTTTTATTTTTTTTATTTTTTTTTATGTCAAACTAACTTAAGATCACATTAAATTTTTTATTTGACAAATTAGTCATATGAATAACTCAATTTTTCTAATTTGAAATATCAACCCAAGTTACAAACCCGAATTTAAGTAATTATAGTTGAAGGTGGGATTTGGTTCAAGTTATACTCCAACCCACCCAATTCATCCAACGTTAAATAAGTTATTAGTAGTACGTGGGAAGACCAAGAGAAATATCATATGCGAAACTAATAAACATAATGTAAAATTTTAGAATTGAGTCTTAAAATGAGAATAGGTCTGTTTTGGCTCAGATAAGGGTACAAACTGCAAACCGCAAAACTGTCATTGTTGTTTCACGAGGAATGCAAGTGGCCTATAGAAATAATCTTTGAAATTCCACCACCGGAATGACAATTACCGATGGAACTCTAACCGTCAATTCATTTTGGGCTTTGGCTTGGGCCTCCACTAAAGCAATCTTTCAGGTTTAAAGAATGTATGGTTTGTCTATGGTTTGGGCCTTTGGCTCTTAATAATTTGGTCGACCAAGTCTTTAAAGTTGTAAACAAAACCCATGTAAATAATACTTTACTAAGTAACACTCAATAAAATAATCTTGAATTTCTGAAAAAAAAAAAAAAAAGAAAAGAAAAGAGAAAGAAATACAAGAATTACCTAAAGGTAGATAAATTATTAAGCAAATGTATCATTTTTATTTTGTTTTTTTATTTGTGTGGTGAATTATAATTGATTAGGACCACATCATACTAGATCATATAATAATTTCTTCATAAAGAGTCTTTACTAAAGACTAACAAATAATTGAAAAAAATAGTAAAATTGAGGATCAATAACACAAAATCATTTTGATATTATATCCAAGCATAACACCTAATAAAAATTATCTTGGGCATTTACAACTTAAATGTAAGAAAATAATTCCATCTTTTTTTCAAAAAGAAAAAAAAGAAAAGGAAAACATCCACCACAAAATTTTCAAGATGAGACTTTTAAGACTCTTTGAGTTTAGGTGCCAAGGATAAGAAAGTTAAAGTTATACTAATAAGGGTAGATTACAAAGATGACTACTACAAGCAATTGGATGGGCGTGAGGATGAGTTTGTCCAAAAGTGGCATGTAACACCCATTTTCAGGAATCTTCACGTGGTATGTCTTCTACATTAATGTATAAGACGAACTTAATTTATATCTTATTATATACCCCAATTTCTTAAACAAAACGGAAGAGGATAATGCCTAATCAATAACCCAGCCTCCCAATTATCTACTGTAATTAATTATTATTATTATTACTACTTATTATTTTACTTAAAATGGAATGGTCCTGAAGATATTTTGTTTAATTTCTTACTAATCTCAGTGTGTTAATTTGTTTACCCTTAATATACGAATTTCTGCTTGGCTTGTTAGCATTCTACCGCAATTAAAATGGTTAAGTTTCTACGAATTTCTCCTTGGTTTAATTATTAATTATTAGCTTCTTATTTTTTCTTTTTTGGCAGATTTTATTTTTATGTTCTTAATAACTTATGGGGCCACTTAAATGGTGAAAAAATATCAGATGGTCAGCCTACTTAGGGGTCAATTGTTTCTCCTCAAAATAGGGGCTAGTTGGAATAACGTGTCATTAGATGGAGGTACCATCAGCTTTTGGGATATGGGTATGGGTTGCCACATCGTTAACAAAGCCGTTGTTTTAACCGAGGAGAGTGTCACTTGTCGAGATCTATCACAGAGGTACACTACCTGTTATTTATTTATTTATTGTAGGTAAATGGGATTATCCCTTAATTGGTTAAGCGTTTAACTTTCATGAGGATTTTTTTTTTTTTTTTTTTTTGTTTTTTTTTTTTTTTTGAATGTTAATATACGAAGATAGTTTTAAAATATAAAATTGTATAAAAATTTGTCTAGTTTAAAATATTTAATTGAAAAAAAATATCTTTTCTACTGAAAATAATTTATATTTTTTAAAAATTATTTTTAAAAGGGACAAATGAAACAAACCCTATAGTTGGATGATTTTTCTAGCTTCCTTCATCTCCACATTCACAAACTATCACTTTCATCTGCACACAAATTTGATCATCAACCCCAAAATAATGATTTTAAGTTATTGATGTCAAAACACTTGTAATCCTGTAGACTGCTAAGCAACTATAATTTTTTTTTTTTTTTTCAAATTCCATTTTATTTTAAAGAATACAAATATTTTTTTCATTCTTCCAAAATCCCATTTCCAAAAATATACAATATCAAATAATATAATTATTCCAATGATTTGGAAATTGAATGTTTATAAGTTAATCGGAAAGGAATTAAATAGCAAATGACAGAATGAATCAAAATTTTAATATTCATTTATTTTTACAGCATTAACTGGAAAACAGAGGACAGAAGAGAGTAGTCGCGGAATTCACCATCTTTATTGCATATTCTTGTTGCTCTTCCCACACTCAACTTCTCACTTTCCTCAGTTTACCAAGGAAAAAAAGATCTCACCAACCTCTCACACACACAAAATAGTTGTATATATATATATATATATATATAATGACACACACAGACACACGGATACATTCATATGCATTTGGAAAGAGTGTAAGTGAAAATAGAGAGGAGAGAGTGTTCGAAAAACTTTTGGCAAGGAATCATATCCTTTTTGTGAAATTTTGTAAGAGTTTTGAGAGAGATGAGGGATTTCAAGACAAGGTTATCTTCATGGTGGTCTACAATATCATCATCTCCAAAGCTTGTGTGTTTCATAATTCCATTGATTGTGGTGTCTGGATTTGTTATTTTATTGGGTCCAAAAACCTCCAATTGGGTATCTATTCCTCACAACTATACTTGGCTATGGAGTTCTTCAAATACTTCTCCTTTACCTTCTGCAACCGGAGGCAATCACACACAAGAAGCTCTGTCAAATGATTCTCTTGTTAACCGCTCTGCCTCACCACCCCTTTCCATAGAAGCCAAAGATATTCAACAACGAGTAAGACCCTTTTCCTATATATATATATATAAATATGTTTGTTTCTTGTGTGTTTATATACATATAAATATTTTTACTTTTTTTTTCTTCAACATTTACACTCATATATATATTTTTTGAATTATGGATGGTTGTACAGATTTATATAAATGTGTACTGTATCATATATGTATGTGTATAAGATAATCTGATTCTCTCTCTGAGTTTTTTTTCCCTTCTTTTATTGTTAATTGAAATTAGAATTCATTTATATGATGGAGTTCTTAGTATTAGCATTCTTATGTTTTTATACAAAAGATTTTTTTATGTGGCACACTGCCACCCTGTATACAAAGTTGACATATTTGTATATATTTTTAATTTAATTACTTCAGGATAATCAATCAAAATCAATTTTTATTTACTCGTGGGTTTTAAGATTTCTTATTATTGATAAAATCTCACCAATCGAACAGTGTTTAAGGCAATAAGTCAAATGCCGTGTTTGGGCCGCAATCTTAGTTAAATATTTGCCTCAAAATCATCAATCCCAATTTGTGGTTCATTAGGTAACACATTTGTCCATTACTAAGCGGACATCAAGGTTCACATCCCATTTTCTATACTTTGTGAAAGAAGAAGGAACAAAAATTTACTTGAGGCAGAGTATGCATGTATCTATTAGATTTCTCTCAAAAACAAATTTCTTCTATTATATTGATTTGAGGCAGAGTATGCATGTATGTATTAGATTTCCCTAAAACTTGTTTTAAGAGATGATAATAACTACTAAAGCCTATTTGACTTCTCATTAATATCATATGGATGCCAAAGGACCTTCATAGAAGGATATATATGTATATACTTATAAAAGAAGTAGGACTTTAAATTTACAGTTAAGTGCAACTAAACCGTGACTTCCTTTTTCTTTCGGGTTTCAATTCTGTTGTGTGCGCCTTGCTTTGATTGTGGTGGGAAACTAGGGATTGCTGATTAATGAATGCAACAGGTGGGGAAGAAGGAAGATGGGTTGAATACTAGTATGAATGAGAGTCTTCCTACTCCCATGACTGCGGGATTACACAGCAATTTGGAGAGGCTTGAGGCCGGTCTTGTACAAGCTCGTGCTGCAATACGAGAAGCTAAAAATGGAAATCAAACACACGACCCCAACTACGTCCCAACTGGTCCAATTTACTGGAATGCCAAGGCCTTCCACAGGTACCCCCATTTCAGAATGTTTCAATGTTTTTTCAGGAAAACACTAGGAAGTCTGAATTTCATCATTAACACTTCCTAGTAATGGCATTGCAGGAGCTATTTAGAAATGGAAAGACAATTTAAGGTATATGTCTATGAAGAAGGAGATCCCCCGGTTTTTCATAGCAGTCGCTGTGATGGCGTACTTGCTATAGAGGGACACTTCATCCATCACATGGAGATTAGCCAGTTTCGAACCAGAGATCCAGAGACAGCCCATGTTTATTTCCTTCCATTCAGTGTGGTATCAATAGTTGAGTACGTTTATGTGGTTGACTCCCGTGAGTGGGAGGCCATGAAAAATACAGCAGCAGACTATATTGACGTCATTGCCAGAAAATACCTTTATTGGAATCGAAGCCTCGGAGCTGATCACTTCATGCTTGCGTGCCATGATTGGGTAAGGAATCACTACCTTTTCTTCTATTACCGTCACATATACAACAAAAATCAACTAAAACAACAGCTATATTTTAGTTGATTCAGCTTAAACCGGACAATCTAGTTTGGCCAAACATAATTTTGTTTACTAAGCTTTGCAAATATGACCATTACAATCTTATCCAACATATGTATGCACTTAATAATCCAACACTCTGCCCCTAGAATTGCCGACTTGCACCTAGCCCACAAGATCATAGTTAAATTGTATATATGTTTGTTAACTATAGATCATCTCCTTAATGAAACGTCTAATTTATCTTGGTTGGACTTAGTTTATTAACCTTATGCGCCTGAAATTGCTTCAAGCCTGTCTTTGAGGAGTTTTTGTAAACCTATCATTGCAAATAATCTGGTGGAGCTGATAGTTTGGTCAGGTAATAATGAAGAAAAGTAACACAAACACCATGCTCTTCCATTCTGATAATTGTGGTATTGCACTTGATCTAGTTTGAAACCCTTGTCCAAATGTTGCTATGAAAAATCTTGCTAGATTCGTAATTACTATTAGATGTACGTTGAGATCAAATTCTCTCTTATTTGGTCGGGAAAAAAAAAAAACCTTCTCCCTTGCTCTTTGTGAAAAAATCTTGAATTTTGAAGCAGAGCAATTGTTTCTGATTTATAAGCTCTGTTTCTGTTATAAGCAATTGTTTCTGATTTGTAATTATGGAGTAAATTTTTGTGGTGCAGGGGCCTGAAATATCCTTTGCCATTCCTTACCTATACAAGAACTCCATTCGAGCACTATGTAATGCAAATACCTCAGAAAGATTCAACCTCTCCAGAGATGTGTCCATTCCGGAAATCTATCTACCAACGGGTACGACTGAGGGCTTGATCGGTGGCCCATCCCCATCGAAACGATCGATCTTGGTTTTCTATGCCGGAGGAGTTCATGGCCCCATTAGGCCAGTGCTTCTAGAGCATTGGGAGAACAAGGATGAAGATGTTCAAATCCACCAGTACCTCCCAAAAGGTGTCTCATATTACGGGATGATGAGAAAGAGCAAGTATTGCATTTGTCCAAGTGGCTATGAAGTGGCGAGCCCAAGAATGGTTGAGGCTCTTTACATGGGGTGTGTCCCGGTACTCATCAAGGACCATTATGCGATACCATTCAGTGATGTTCTGGATTGGAAGACATTCTCAGTCGAAGTTCCGGTGAAAGAAATTCCCAACCTGAAGAAAATTCTGATGGGTATCTCTCAAAAGCAGTACATAAGAATGCAGAGGAGGGGTCTTCAAGTAAGGAGACATTTCGAGGTTAATATGCCCCCAAAGCGATTCGATGTCTTTCACATGATACTCCATTCAATCTGGCTTAGAAGACTTAATGTTCAAATTTATGATGTTGAAGAATCATGATATCATTAATTGATCGATCCAATTATGGTCTAGTTTAGATTAAAGGAGGTGTATTACAAGTACATTTAGAGATGAACATGTATGATAGTGCTACAAGGAAAATGATTTTAAGGCTTAGAATAAATTGTCTGACCGTAAAGTTTTAATTAATTATGTATGTAAGATAAAAGTACGTAGCATTGCAAATATATGACCACGGTTGTTTATCACTGCTTAGTGATATAATGTTGCACAATATTTTTGATAGTTGGCATTTGTTATGGTTTTTAAATCACTGTCTCATCTATTTATTATATTCTTTTATTTCTATTCTCTCATTTTATTCCTCTTTGTGAAAACTATGCGCGATACCAGTTGAATACGGCATTTCATTCAAGCGAGCCAATGATTTTTGAACTAGATATATTTCAAACGAATTAAGGAAAATAAAAAAGATTAAATTGGAAGGAGACCTAACTATTACATAAAAACAAATTATTTTTTTCTTTGTCTATAAACTCGCATCTATTTGTCTTTAGGACAACTCGAATCAGTACTAAACTTGGCTTCATTCCCAAGCTTTTATTGTCCATATCTTTTATTTTATTTATTTAATTATTTATTCAAGTCCATATCTTTTATTTCATAGTGGCTAATTTATGATAATGCTGGATACGTATCTCTATTGCCACGTGATAAATAGATTTTACTATACCAAGAATTTATTTATTTAATTTAATTGGTGTTTTGTAAATAACTTTCTAAATTATAAATTGTTCCCCTAAATTATAGATTTGTTGCAATTAAAAGCAAACTAATTGTAAAAGACTATTTTACCCTTCCTCTTTAAATTATTACTTATTAAATTATTTTTATTATCTTTTCTCTTATCTAAATATTAATTATACTATTTACCTTAATTTTATTATTAATATCATTTTTCATAAAAATAGAAAAAAAAAATATATTTGAAACTACCATTTTCTAAAATGATTAACTTATTATTAAGACTCTATTATTTATAATAAAAATTAATAAATTCAGTTTAAACTTTTTATCGTGGAAAAATACCTTCTTTTTTATACAATATATTGATGAAAATTTAATAAATTAATTAAATAAAAATACCTTCTTTTTTATGCAATATAATCATAAAAAGATAAGAAATTAATTAAATTATTTTAAAATTTTTGTAACGATCCCAAAACTAATACTTTTTAAACAAAAAAAAAATTCGGCATAACCTCCCCTAAAAATAGGCCTATCACAACCTGTTTAATTGCATTTTTAACCTGTCACGGCTCAAATTCCGAATTCACGGCAATAGTAGATGATAATACACAATCAAATGACCTCGATAATACCTCAAACTAGTATTACTCTCCCCATGCATCAATAAGGTTTACATGTTATCAAATTCACATCTAAAATATCATCAAATACCTTAATTACATTACATAACAAAGTTTTGCAAAATATACATATACACCTTCACACTTCTAGTGCTTTGCAAAAATAATGGGGGATAGGGATCATACAACGTAGGGGATCAAATACAACATATAATTCAATTCCAATTATAAACAATGCAATGCAATGCAATGCATGTCAATGACACTCCCCATTTTCATTCTCAAAACCATCACTTTCAAACGTTAATACAGCCCGCCCTTTGGTAACCCCGCCGCGACACGAGAAGAGGATTGGTTAGTGTCCCTGACCCTTGGTAACCCCGCAGCGTCATTATGGGGCCCAGCTAGCTCAACCACACTAGGGCGACTCCCTAGTCCCCTCTAGGCTATATTAACCTCCGGCCCGTTGGTAACCCCGTAGCGACCGGGTTTATCAAAACCATTTCACAAAAACTATCATTTCCCAAAAATTCCTCATTTTCATTTCAAGACAAATTCTCCCATTTCATGCATCCCAATGACATGTCCATGAATGTACATATAATCTCAATATCATGACAATGTGAAATTTTGGCACAATACAATTAAGCATGGTCTCATACATCACTTTCAGCAAGTTTACACATAGTAGACATAAACTCAAGACATAGGCAAGCTTTTCACATAATACATCACATGTGCATAAACATACATTTCTCTAGACAACATTAAAATAATCATTAACACAATTAATCCCCAAGTAAAGCATGTTAGCACATAAAAGAGGTATAATTCACAAAAAACACCACAAAGCCATCATCTATACATGCTTTTCACATAGACAAGTCATAACCCTAAGACATGAATTTTTTTCTAAACATCACTTACACCTCATTGAAGCAATTAATTCTCAAATTTAGCATGTCTAGCACAACAAAAGAGCATAACTCACAATGGAACAAGAAGAGAGTGGATTAAGATGCCCCTACCTCAAAAATGAGCAAACCCTAGAAAATGGGTCCTAAATTTCGAAGTTCAAAGGGTGCACCAAATCTGGAATTGTTGGTATGTATGCGTAGAGCTCGACACAAGCTTCGTTTTGCCTCAAATGGCACCTCAATCCGACAAAAGATGAAGGAGCAATCAACAATGGAAGCTTAAAGTGAAAAGAAAAGAAAAAAAAAGAAAAGAAGGAGAAGCAGAGAGCGTCTGTCGGGAGAGAGAGAGAAAGGCAGAGACCAATTTTGGTCTCACAATTCACTTAAAAAGTGATGTGGGTCCCACTTCTTTTATAATTTTTTTTCTCATTTTCTTTTTCATTTAAATCACACACCACACAATTATATACAGACATCACAATTTTCAACTGAAGACTTTTAATAAACAATTAATTTCAAAAATCGAAAGTAAATTTATGCAAATTTAATAGAGAATGTCTCATCAAATTAGTATGAATTTTTTTTCATAATTTATTGTAATAAGAAAAAAAGATTAAGTGCAAGTTAATAAGAAAAATGCATTATGGTCATTTAATGAAATATAGACTAAGCATTGAAGCATTCTTCAACAAAATGTGACAGTGGGTACTAGGCACAAAATACTTCAAGAAATCATTTACAAATTTGAACATAGTTCAGGAGTTATTATTATTTTTTCCCCTTTACCTTAATAAATTCGAATTAATTAAGGATAAATTGGGATCAGGTTGAGCAGTTAGAGTTAGAGGTCGGGTTATGGTTAGACAAAGGTTCTTCTTCTTCTTCTTTTTTCCTTCACCTGTTTTTATTATTGTAACTGACCAATTTTAATGATTAAAAAAAAAAAAAAAAAACCTCAAACATAATGTAAATACCATTTTTAAAAATAATTCAAACATTTATTTATGAAACATTATGCGAAAATTAATTTTTAAATATGTTTATATTTTGGAATAAATCATATAAAAAGAAAAACTTACTATGTTTGTTTGCATTAAATCAAAAATACAAAATAAAACTGATTGTGAAAAACATCCTTAATATTTATATTTTATGTTTCCAAATTTATTTACAGCAATTGTTTTTTTATCTACTTCATTGATCCGGATGGACTTGAACCTATTGGATGTAGTTTCTTTTTGGGTTAGGATAAAATTGTTGAGTTGATCAACAATATTTGTCTTATTTTCCTCTTTAAAATTTTGAATCAATGAATAAAAGTTAAGAATGAATTTTTTTCAATGTAAATTGTTGGTATCTCTAGGGCAGTCAATTATTTTCTAGAACATTTGATTCCAAACAAGTGTGTTTATCTTCCATAGCAGGCAGTACTTAATTGATCCGGATGGACTTGAACCTATTGGTGAACGAGTTGAAGGATCAACCCGTCTCCTGATACAATTTGGATAAGACTTTATTCATCCATATATTATTACATGATGGTTACATAATTTACGTAATTTATGACAAGGTTGTATAGGGATGTTAATGTTGGTAAAATATATGCTTAATGTGACTTTTGAGATATAACAACCCTTATACTAATATGTCATGAGATAATTAACAATATGCTAATAAATCATTAATTAAATATGCAACTCTATATTTAATTAAATATACAAAATAAAGCAATAAAATAATAATAATATGCAAGGAATGAACCTGGACCGAGGCTAGTATTGGATACTATGTCCTTAAGACAGATTCGCCCCGCTATGGTGCTAACGGACTCAGTGGTGTCTATCTCTCAGGATACAACGGTCTACATCCACCAGTAGCAGCACTACAAATTCGTGGAGACGGCGAACCTCCTCCTTGTAATACTCTCTCTGACTCAAAAATGCATCTATATTTACTATATAAATGCTGAATTGGGTGTAATCCGAACCAAATGGTTCGGACCAATCTTAATATGGCTCGATGAAATTGGATTAGGATCGAAGTGGCTCGAACCACTTAACCTATGGTTTGAACCCACTTGGGTTGGGTTCTAGTCTAGAGAGGGAGATAGAAGAAAATGAAAATGAATGAATTGCAAATGATCTAAAGGGGGGTATTTATAGAAACAGAAATGCCTTTTCGAATGGGGTGCGTCTTTTCATCATTGGACACAACCATTGCAATAGGTTGCAATGGTTCACATGGTGTCTGTTCACCAATAGACACATCCATTCCAATAGGTTGCAATGGTTCACATGGTATCTGTTCACCAATAGACACATCCATTCCAATAGGTTGCAATGGTTCACATGGTGTCTGTTCACCAATAGACACATCCATTCCAATAGGTTGCAATGTGCCTTTTCGAGTGGGTGCAACTATGGGTTATGATGGTTCGGAAAAAGGTGTAACCCTTTGGAAAAAACTAAAAGTGATTTTTTAATGTAAAAAGTGTAACCCTTTAGAAAAAACTAAAATATGATTTTTTTTAATTTAAAAGGTGTAACCTTTTAGAAAAACTAAAAAGTAGTTTTTTTTTAATTCAAAAAACCAACCACCCAAAAACCCCACTCATTTGTGAAACCCATTTAAATAAGCCCAGCCCAAAATTAGGCCCAATCCAAAATTCCAAAAAAAATAATATGGACTTTACAATTAGGCCCAAGCCCAAGCCCAAATCCTAAACTCAGCTTATTTAAATTTCAATTTGTTTCAACATTTTTTCCATGTGGGACAAACACTTCCCACATTTTGCATACCCATTTAGGCTTATCAAAACACTACACTTTGGAGCTAATTTCTCATTCATCCGGAAATGGATTTCAGAAAGTAAATATACCATGTTCATCTCCTTGCGAAGAGAAACGCGCTTGTCTAGAGATCCATAAAAAATTATTAGCAGAATCTATTTCAAATCTCATCC